TTCTCAATCTCTTCCTGAGCCATCCCGAACTTGGCCAGCAGACGCTCTGCGTCCCTCTCCAGCGCTCCCTTGGGAGCAGCCCCTGCCTTCAACTTCCCTTTCTCCTGGCCGATGCAGATGTGCAGTGCTGAGTGGATCGTCATCAGTGCTGAGCCGTCGACCGTGACCACCTGACTCTGGATGAATGGGCTCATCATGAACTGTAACTTGTACGTGTCCGCCTCCTTCTTGCCGCCCTTTTTGTCGAACCAGCACGCCCTGATGCGACAATAGCGCACATGGTCCGATAGTGTCCGAAGGGTCTCCGCTTTGTCCTCCTTGATCGTCTGCGACCAGTAGTGCTTGAGTACTGCCAGCGCCTGCTTCACCGCGGGTTCTTGACTGCCCGCCAGCGTTGCCAGGAAGTGGGTAACTAACGCCGTGAATATGTGGGGCCATGGAGGCCCGTTGTCGTGCTGCTTGCCCTGCTCCTTGCAGTCCATCGCGTAGTCTTGGCCAGCTGTCTTCATCACTCCCACGAGGCCTGCGGTGGCTGGTAGGAGGAAACAGGTGAACGTAGCGCCCGTGATTTCCGCGAGGTCTCTGACATTCGTGAGCGAAAGCCTGCACACGACCGTGAGCAGGGCCGCCATGATGCCACCCTCCTTGCCTTTGAGCTCCTGGCGAGCCTGATGGACGACCTGCTGCTCCAGCCGCTGCCTTTGGTTGTCCCCGCCTGTGGCCTGGCTGGCCTTGCGCTTGTTGCCGAGCTGCCAGGCTGGGGCGCTGGCCATTGTCACCGCCGTCGAATAGTAGCGGTAGCCTTGTAAAGTGCGAACGAATGTGTCGTGAAAGGTGAGAAGGGTCGGAAACTTGAACCTCACACACCGGACAATCCGAGGATAAGGGTGTAGGTGTTCGGAATGTCGTGCTGAGATTCACCATACATACTCCACTCTGAAAAGAATCCACCACATGTTTGTAAGCTGAATTTCGCGATTCAAACACGCTGTTGCACACAAAGCACTGGTTGTTAACCACGGCGGTCCCCAGGGTAGATTTAAGGCCATGATAATTGTGTAAGTGAACAAGGACCTGGCGTTTACTCTGAAACCTTCTGGGGCACCCTTGAACTGGACAGCCGTGCTCCCCAACTTCTTGCTGCGCTTCGGGGTCCTCTGGAGCCTCTGATGGTGGGGTCCATGACGGAGGAGGGATGCGAACCGATAAGTACGCGGCCCTGATCTTTTTTGTGTCGAAGAGCGTGAACCAATCGATCAGCTCAGGTTCAGAAAAAAGATGAAGAGGCTGCCCATCGAACTGCTGCACCATACTGTATTCGTCGTCCCCGAGCTCTGCAAGCGATGAGATGTCATCAACAAATCTGCGAGCCCAGGGACATGCAGCCTGAGTGAGCCGAGCATCGTCGCCCACAATCGGCAACTCGTTAGCGAGCTCGACCCGCATACTGCCTAGTAGTGCTCCCCATTCTGCGATGTGTTGTTTAGGATTCCTCACCCACCTTTGATACCACCTGATCCTCCTTGCTCTGAGCTCATGTTCTACTGGGGCCATCTGCCAAAAACGGTAAACCTGCATGTTGGAAATCGAGACCTTGTGCCCATCCTTCTCGTATGTTGCTCCTCCCCTCATCGCCCTCCGTGCATAATGTAGTACTCTTGCTTGTAATTTGTCTAGGTGCGCTTGTGTAGGTAGGAATGCTTCAACTCCAGAAACTGCTGGCCCTAGAACCCGAGACAGAAATACAGCTCGTTTCTCGATTGGGGGGACGCCATACTGATACCAATATCTGCCCATGCTGTGAAATCCAGCGTCAATAGCTGCAAGCCTGGCCGAGAGCTCGCTGTTAAATGTGCAATCTGCTCGCACGAGGCCCCCCAGCATCTTGGCGAGATCGCTGGGCTCTCCAGCTGTCAGGAAAGCTTTGGCCTTACATCTCGAGCGGCCTGCCTGCGAGCCTTCTCCAAAAAGAGCCAGCACCGTCTCATTCTTCGCGGGGTTGAGGAGATAGTTGTGTGTGAGGAGCTGCTCAGAGAGGAGAGTGTTGTAGGACATCGATTTAAAGCTGAGCTCCATATGAGATGCGGTGCCATGCAAGCCAGAAATCAGTGTCTTTGTAGCGTCGTCAACATACGTGTGAAACGAGAGGTCGAGCTCGATGGGTTCCTCATCTTCCTCATCTTGCGGCAAATCAACAATGCACCAATCAGAAGTATCATCAGTGCCCTCGATAAATTTGTCCTGGGCCTGTTCAAAAACGATGTCGATGTCCCTGGTAAATACTTTTACAGCCCACGGGTCCCCCTGGAGTGCTCCCACATGAGGCTTGGCGAAGAGGAACCCGTCGGGACCTTGGAAGGCGACCGCTGATCTTCTAGAACGTTGTTCACCGAATCGGACCTCTTGGGGTTTCATGATGGCCTCGTTGGTGCTTGAGAGGTGAGTCCAGTCGGTGCCGCCGAAGGCATTCGTGATGTCCTTATGATCTCTAATATGCTGC